TTTCTTTCATCTTTCAGTTATGCGAGGGGTTATGCGGATTTCCGCCTATTGCTCGCATACTACCTACGCACTTTTATTCGAATTTTTTTTTTATTTCTTTCATCTTTCAGTTATTTCAGTTATGCGATGGGGTATGCGAATTTCCGCATATTGTTCGCATACCACCTTCGCACTTCTACTCTAAAGTTTTTTTTTTATTTCTTTTATATTTCAGTTATTTCAGTTATACGATGGGGTATGCGAATTGCCGCATATTGCTCGCATACCACCTTCGCACTTCTACTCGAAAGTTTATTTTTATTTCTTTCATCTTTCAGTTATTTCAGTTATGAGATGGTGTATGCGAATTGCCGCATATTGCTTGCATACCACCTTCGCACTTCTACTCGAAAGTTTATTTTTTATTTCTCTCATCATTCATCGTTTAATTTAGTTTATTTTTTTTCTTTCCAGGTATGAGAAATGCACATACATACAACAAACAACCAAATTATAATAAAATACAAAAAAAAAAAAAACAAAAAAGTATTACATGAATCATTAAAGAACTATTGTATCTGGTTCTGTACTAAACTGAAAAATTTGTAGAGCAATTTTGTGCCTCATTGCTTTAGCCAACTTATAGTTAGATTTCTTGAAACGCATCGTCCTCGTGAGCAATGTCCGTACCATCTCCACAGCGCATACACCACAATTAATTCTATCATGTTGCAAGATAGTATTTTTGGGGTCCTTGAATTTCAATTCGAACTTTTTGCTCACTCTCTATACATCCGCATACGTCGCAACCAATGGAATTAGATTTTGGATTTTTTGGAGTCCTTTGACGCAATTTTCGCGAATGTGCTCGTTCTTCTTTTCTAAATACGTATGCCGTAGAGGGTCAAACACACTTATCGTCCCCTTGAGTAAAGAGATCTTGACAGTCACGTAGTGGTTGGACAAATTCACTACTCCAATAATCTGTTGCATTGAGTTGTGAGAAATTCACTAATTTTTTAGGAAAGATTACAAAAATAATTGATTCGGAATCATTGAAAACTTATATATTTAATCCCCTTACAAGAACACGGATTTCCCCTACCGCTGACCCCCTCACTCGCAATGCGAATCAAAGATCGGAGGGCCTCCGATTCCAGGTCCACTCCCCCCTTATCCATCTCCTTCTCCAATTCATCCAGCATCATCTATATAAAATACAACAAAATAATAAATAATAATATTATTAATATAATTATTAATAAAAATGGAATGACAAGGAAAAAAGAAAGGATTAAAATAATCTCACAAAAAACGTAATCGACACGATGGTGTAAGTGCCCAACATATCTTGTCGTGGCTCCAAGTCCAAAAAGAGTGGATTGCTTTGCATAATCCCCAAGTATGCATTCACGTGTTGTTTTATAAAATCAAACCAAACATCATCCATCAATTCATAACATAGCACCTACCCTATCTGAACGAGCTTTTATATGTTAAGATATTACAAGACAAACATATGCATACCTCGTCCTCCATCATTTCATTCGGATTAACCAATTCCTGAAACCACCCCTTGCCCACCTCATATGGAATGCCGACATTCCTCTTATTAAATAATATAATAGAAAGTTTTTTTTTTAATATATAAAAGATCTTTTGGATGTACTTACATTTCCTTATTCGTGAATTTGAGGAACCGTTCAAACTCGCCCTTATTTTCAGCATACCGTCTGTTCTCCTCAGTTCAATATGGACTACTTACAACAGCACATCCTAGTCGTCTTTGTCGATCAACTTTAATCTCCAAAGACGAGGACTGCGGAGAAGAAGTGGACTGCAACACCAGTGTCTCGGAGGTGGAGGGGGGAGCGACGGGTGTCTTGGAGGTGGTAGCGACGACTGTCTCAGGGAGGGGTGTCTCGGAGGTGCAGGTAGAGGGGGAATCGACGACTGTCTCGAGGGGGGATTGGGGACGGCTGTCTCGAAGATGGAGGGGTTGGCGGCGGCTGTCTCAGAGATGGGAGTGGAGGAACGTTGTCTCTTACGGGAGTGGGTGGGGGAATGTTGACTATCATGGGAGGTGGAGGTGGAGGGGGAATCGACGACTGTCTCGATTATTATGGGATTGGCGTCTGTCTCGAAGATAGAGGGGTTGGCGGCGGCTGTCTCGGAGATGGGAGTGGAGAAACGCTGTCTCTTACGGGAGTGGGTGGGGGAATGCTGACTCTTATGGGAGATGGAGGTGGAACGATGTCTCTTACGGGAGGGGGTGACGGAATGCTGTCTCGTTGTGTTGACGGCTGGGTCAGACTGGGGAGGGGGCTGTCCCAGATGGGGGTGCGACAGATTGGCCAACTCCTATCGAATAATAGTCGGCACCTCCCGTAGAATGATTGTCGACACCTCAAAGGATATTCTGGCTATAACATTAGCCATTTCAGCCCGTATGCACGCGCGAATATCCTCAATAAAGGCCGACCCATCTGTTGGCCTCGTCTCCTCCCGGTGCATACGGCGCCTGGCCGGGTTAACTCGTCGCAAAAATTGAGGCCCCTGAACATTCAAGTTCGAGAGGTCCAACACGCCAATCTCATCCTCATTCAGCGGCAGTGTCTCAATCACCTCCAACTAAATTTAAAAAAATAGAACATAAAAATAAAGAAATCATCAGAAATTGTTAAGACTTAAAAAAGAATTTCGGATATCACTTGCTAACCATTCCAATAATAATAATAAAAAAATGATTAAGATCAAATAATACCTGTTGGTCAAAAAATGTATTTGGAAGTGTGACCTTCTTCAGTTCCCAGTGAACCAGCCGTGGTGGACGTCTCACCGAGGTACATTCTCCACATGCACGACCTAATGCAGGGATTGCCTCGTAGCACCATACTAGAAACGCCCAGTGAAATCCGTAGATATGATATTTCATATTATTGTACTGGGCCGTCTTCAAGTAGTCGAGCAGGTACTGAAACGAGTAACTCCCCCATGGGAATTTCTCCCACATCTGGTCGTCCTCGAGCAAAGCCCACCAGCAGGTATTAATATACCGACGCTTGTTATCGACATGAGGAATTATGAAGTACATGAGCATTAGCATCTCCGCTACTCTCACTATCACATCCCGAGAGTAACGGAACTGCCCCGCCTTGAAGTCATCACGCAACTGCTGCATAGTGACCCGCTTGCCTTTATATGTCTCATAGAAAATAGACGATGGAGAAGGAGGAGGCGCTGAGTTCGGGTCAAACGCAGACGATCCAAAAGCAAGTCCGGTCACCACAGCATACTCATGGGCGGATAATCAGGTAAGATGGTTACCAATATGGAACCACATCTCGTTCGGATTCTGACCGCCACGAGTCACCTCGCGCGAAAGAATCCCATGCATTGCCTTTGCAGAGACATTAGCATATCATCAAACTGGAGGAACGGACCAAAGACCGAGCCCTGGAAAGCAGTCAAGGCCCCTTCAACGAGGCCCAACTCGTTCTTGATATCAGAACATATATACTGCCGGCTGTAAATGTTGATTTTCGGCCCTTCATAATCACCGATCAGTTTCGGTCTCTTGTACGACCACAAATCCTAAACAAATCGCATTGTTGTTGTTGTTGTTAATTATTCAAATCAAATTACTTATACATTATCAAATAAGAACAACTATTTCTGAACTATTAAAGCAGATAAAATTAAATAACTGCAACAAATGGAAGTTACCTCTCCAGAAGAGATGGCCTCCGGACCCGTGCCTTCAGTCGCTAAGTCGTCGCCTGCCATACCCGTTACGGCAGCCGTTGAGTC